CTGCGAAGTTTAAGCGAACGGTTTACGTACAGTTGTCCGGCTTGGACCAATGAATTTCGCAGAATCCGTTGCATCGTGCGATTGGAATAGCAGTAATAGCAACGGTTAAAGAATCATTCGACTAAATATCCGTTCTCTGCATGATCCAAAACCTAAACCTCCGCTGTTATTTCGTATAATCGAATAATAATTCGAGAAACCCAATGATGCTATAATATATTTAGCATGAAATTTTCGCACATTGCAAAATAATTAATAATGTCGATTATAATCAAATCTGGAGTAAATATATATCAGAATCCTGAAAATATGTACTTGAGTTTAATCAGAATCAATTATTTCACGAACGATGACATAAACCGGTATCGTTTCATGACAACTGAACGTGCATATCTATATAATGTCTGTTATGTTCGAATGACATTAATATACTCATGATGAGTATACTTTAGTTATATGAATATTTTTTTAGTTGTTTAAATGCATATTCTGTACCAGATTTCAATACCAGATAACAATAATTACTTACAGAATAATTTACTTATTATTCTGCAAGAATACTCATGCATGCCTAATTTTGTCATTGCACATATAGTTTGAAAGTGAATAGTTTAATATCCTGTTTCTACAGCATTTAAAGCTTACAAGTGTGATCATAAAACTTGCGTTTGAAATCCTTCTACTCTATAGTAGATTTGATTTATTCCTGATTTCCTTCATATTTCAAGCAATTCAAAATAGAAACGAATGTCGTTGACTAGTATTACGTAATGGCGCGATAACTTATAGAATGTTCTACATTATCTATTGAATTGTATTACTTTGATAAGAAATTTAAAAAAATAGATTTATATTAATACTTTTTAAAAAACTAGAAAACATTTAATTAATTGTGCTTTTAAGAAATTAGTTTAAAAAACAAATTATGTTGATATTCTTATGCATATTTATTTGCTTTGCTTCTTTTATTCTCTGTGTCATGTATTTTTAACTTTTACGTGTTTATTTTTTAAATTACCATTTTTCAATTTCTAAAAGTTTGTAAAATTCGCTTTAAGAGGATTCTAAAAATATCTGTTTTACTGATTAAACTTCTCTTCTATAGATTCGAAAATTCTTTTCCAGGATTAAAATATACACATTGATTGAGATCTTTACCATTTCTTAATTCAATATAGCGCTCTAGAGCTGTCACGTCTTAACAACATTTGCTTGATATAAAAAGTTGTGCAATCTGTACTTACGAAATAGTAGTCTACAGACTAGTAGATTGCACGAAGAAACAACGTGGAGTTCTTAAAATTGGACTTAGAAGTCCAATTAAAACGCTATAAAAAAAAAAATATATATATATATATGTTTATGTGCGTGGGATATTAATATAATAGGAGATAGTGATGTGTCACTGACACATAAATCGTCTGTGTGTAAATCCTACTTCTGTGTAATCCTAATCGGTAAAACAGACGTCTTTAGGATTCCCTTCAGCACACCCTGAAGGACGTCACGCTCCGATAAGACTCGCTATTCTTAATTTGTACCACACCATTTTTATTCCCTTTTTTTTTCTTTTCTTTTTCTTTTAGCCAAATATACGATTTCATACAGCATAAACGCGTAGTTTAGTAAATTACTTTTCGTATTATACCGTGGCAATTAAAGCGTAAATACTTAACGGCAACGCATTGAATGTCGAAACGAGGCCGTTGTTCCCTATCACAGGAAGCAAATGGCACTTTAAATTGCCGGCCGCACGCACGTCATCATCTTGTCGAGGGATAACTGCACACGATCCTTCTCTCGTGTGGATGCAATCTTGATTCGACCGACATGGGTGCCACTCGGCTTTTATCCGATCGTTTGCGACGAAAGGCGCGAGTCTTAGACGGAGACAGACGGCGATCGAGCGATCATTTTTTTCCCTATTTACTGCACGAGTGAGATTCAAAATATCTCTTGACAACTGTCTTTTCCCGGCAAGTATGCAACTTTCACGCGCGAATATATTTATTTTTATTTACTTTACTAACGTGTAAACGCATTTCGGTTTTCGTGTAACGTCGTTACCAACGATATTTAAATCATCTGAATCATGTGTGTATAAATTTCACATAAATTTCAAATTCTAAGAAATGAGAAAAGATGAGAAAATATAAAATTTGCCACAAATCGTGACATCTTCAAGAGGACTTTCCAAGATGATATTGTTGCCGATAGTTTTATAAATAAAAAATTAATTTTTAACTTTATATTTTTAACTTTAGATTCTGCCATGTTACTCTTCGTAGGTACGTCAAATGATGTTAGTACGTGAAGATGCAATATGTGCAATATTACGTGACGCGCCTGTTGCGCTACGACCGACTTTATCGGGGATGTCAGGTTGTAATACTTGGATCGTACAACCGTTATCAAGACGAGAGCCGGGGGTCAAGCTTAGTCGTGCATATTGGTCTTTATACGTCAATTTCTCTACGAATAAAGTTTACCTGTTATCATCTCTTGAAAATGATTAGTGCAAGTACATAATAGATGATTATGATTTATCGATCGTCGCATCTCATACACTCTTATTCAAGAAGCTAATATATAATTTTAATTATAATTAGTTATCTTTGGATAAATCCTAGTAAATTAAACTAGTTAATACTAGAAATTAAAGACCTTCAACGGTCGAAGCTGGATCTTTGAATGCTTAAAATAATTCAATCTTGAATTACTATATATATCTACTATGTATGTACTTGTATGATACTTGCTTGGGTATCAAATTATAAAAAAAAAAATTGCTTGTCAATTTAATTCGTGATTATTAAAATAGTTTATAGTCCGGAAAAACAATTCGGCGCGCAGTTTAAAAGGACTACAAATATGATATATATGCAAGTACATATAATAATTCAAGATTGAATTATTCTAAGCATAATAAATCCAGCTTCGTTATAGGCCTTTAATTTTTAGTATTGATTGTGTTCTCACATATGCGGTCTAAAAATAAAGTTTCTTAATATATTGTTTAAACTAGTTAACCTTCGTGAATTAAAAGATAACAGTGACCTTTCATACTACATCATAGTAAATATTACGAAGATACTAATAAAATTTAAAAAAAAAAAAGTGTGTTTATTGTGTATCTTGTGTGATTATGCGTCTATATTCCGTGTTCTAAGAATATTTTAATAGTATTACACTGGAAATTTGCATAAAATATTTATTTTTAGAATCGGAGCAATTATCAACTTGTTTATTTGAACGAAAGAATGTAAGTCTACGGCATTTTGTATTTAACGAATATTAAATATGTCTAAGTTTGCATTTTGCGTACCGCAATTCTTTAATATTCGTAACATCAAATGTTCCAAAAATGTTTAACAGTGACCATACGCTGTTGACGATAAACAATTATAATAAAGAGCCACGATAGCATTATTTTATATCGCGATGGCGTTACGTCGATCAGTTACAGACATCAGATGCTATATTATAATTTTCTTGATAGATAATATCTATAGGTTGCATCATAACTCATAATATGTTATTGTTATCAACTTGTAACCCATTTCCTTTGTTCGCATCCAGCGTAAATTACGCATAAGAACAGCGATCCGGCATGCAAAGATCGCACTTGTCCTTCGACAGTTGAATAATAATATAAATATTAATTATTCAACTTCCATAAATTAAAAGTAATTGAACAAATGTAACGGCTAATTAGATATCACTCGATTGACGACGAATTGCAAACTTTTTTACAATCAGAATTAACACAAAAATGTTTAAAAAGTTAGAGCTATAATGTTAAAAATAAAAAAAAAATTGTAACAAATAAAAACCTGCTTCGCTATCGATGACTCGTGAAAGAAATATCAAGGCTGTTTTTTTTGTAAAATCCGTCGATTAATAAAATGCCGGTAAAATGCCGGTTTACTGTGTATGAATTTATCGCGTTCTCATTATATTCGCCGATAACGGAAATTGAATCCTTCGCTCGTTTTTCAATTGACGTCATTAAAATCGATTGAATCGGGTCATTAAAGCGTACAATCATGTGATATTCGCCGATTGAACGAGAGCCACGTATTTAGCTCTTCTCTAGGCTTTCACACACTTTCATAATTTGTAGCGTGCGGCCGCGAACGGTATTCGACGAAATTCTATGCACCGGACGTACGATGCGTGTACATACAGTTCCTGATTTCTCTGAGAGAAGGAAAAAGATGAACATTCGATGTCCTTCGCGTGATCGCACGCATCTTAATTTTTAATCGATAAGTGTAAAATATGAATTTTCCATCTTTATATTACTAATTCCGATTGAAACGCAACAAATTCAATCAAATTATTTCGGCATAGCCGCAGAAATACGGATCGATATACAGAATCCAGTAAAAGCAAATCGAGGTCACGATCGCTTTAACGGTAATTTCTTCAGGCAGTCACTTCGTTCACGAAACCATCAAAACGATCGATACTTAATTGCATCACGAAATTTTCGTCAATCTTATGGCTATCAATCGCAACGTAAATTCTTTGATTAAATAGATCGTTTCTCTAATTCTTGTTTAGACTGACTTTAAATTTATATTTACATTTATTAAATGTGCTTACATAAATTTATATCTCTCCTTGAAGAGAGAGAGGATCTTTTTTTATTAATTTTCTCAAGTTTTCGATGACTCGTCAAGAATAGATCTGAAAAAACGTATTCGAAAGGTTGGGAATGGAATCGAGTATATATCGTGAATGGTATATTAAGAAACCTAAAAACTTGAAACTTTTATGAATACATCAAAAAGTAATATTCCTACTTATCAAACTAAATCTCGATATCCAGTAGCGGATACCGTTACATCGAGTGCTTTATAGCCATATGAAATAAAAACTTTAAATAGTGTTACTCTCCAACGGAATATTATTTCGATGTCGAACCAATCCGGATTGCAAAACATACAAGTCGGATCATTTCCTATAGCCACTGGCTATTTCTACGTTCTACTTACGAAAAATATAGAGAAATGAATCGATCGTGACCGTCAGGATCAGCCTGGTCGAGAGATCGTCAGCCTTTCGAATCCGTCCAGAAGACGTCCCGGGGTGCCCGGGTCGCATCCCGTGACACTCGATGACGACCTCCGTTATCAAGGGAAGAGGAACGGATCCGCGTTAATACGCCGGCATTCCTCTTCCATTGGCGTATCACGTCATCTCGTAGTTCCTTCTCGTTCTTATCTTTCGCTGGTCCACCTCGGAATCAGGAAGAATGCATTGGCGATCACTATGTAGTATCCACTATGTTTTCTTCTTCTGAAACCGCGGATATCCCGAAGAAAACAACACTCGTTAAAGGACAAAACACGAACCGCACGCGCTTTCTTCTCCCGACTATTCGCATATATATATATGCATATACATATATATATAGATGTGTATATATAAATGTGTATGAGTATATGGGTATGCGTGCGTACCGGCTGCTGTTGCCGCCGCTGCGCCGGATGAATGCGACGTGCCTGAATGGGAAGAAGGACGCTGGAAGCAAGCTCGATGTACTTCGATCTTACAATTCTCGCGATTCCTTCTTGCGCATTGAACGATCGCCCGCAAACACGTACAAATTATCGCTCATCGTCACTTGTTCTTTGTGAATATGATGATGACGTTGACAGGCTTTAAGCCGAATACAATCAACTTTTTGCTTTTTGGATTCATCGATCTTTCTCTATCCTTCGTGCGTCATCTGATTCAGTTGGAGCATTCAAAAGTCGTTGTTAGAGGCCGGTTGCCAATCGCCGGTCGCCGGTCGCCGGTACTCGAAAGGATATATATATATATATATATATATACACACACACACATACAAGGACTTGTTACACGCACCTCTACATCAGCCGGCACATTCTCGTTCTCCAAACCCTATCTCGTTTAACCCGATAGCGATAATTATTTATATCAAGAGACTGCAGGTTTTTAACTTCATAAAATTGTCTATGTACAATAACATGAGAAACACGTTAATGAAAAATTAAATTGCATTCCGGAGTTCGACAAATTCGGGACAAAAATACTCGTCGTATATCGTGTCGGCGTCTCGCTCCCAACTGCCGCCAGACGCCAGACGAAGTCTTCGACTAGGGGGCCGTTCGAGAATCAAGAGGGGAGTTCGAAGAGAGTGAGTGAGAGAGAGAGAGAGAGAGAGAGAGAGAGAGAGAG